TATACTGGCTGGGAGAAAGTAAAAGGAAAAAACCCAGTTCATCCTGTTATAATCCTTTTAGAAATTTTAACAAATCCAACAGCTTTCAAGTAGTGGAAATATTTCAGAAAGTGCTACCACCACTACTGCTGTTGCTCCAGGCTATATTATCATATACCATAGTGTGCATGCAAGCAAAGCTTAACTAAGGTCATTCTAATGAATTTTGAACAGTTACATGGACCTAATTTAGCTTTCTGTCCTGTATGAAAGGCAACCTCTTCATGCTGCAGAACCCAGAAGAAACCCCTGAGTCGTCTTATCAACCTCATCTGCATTTTTCATCATCTGAAAGAGCTGCAAGTAATGCTCAGTCTATGAACTCAGTGCACATGTGTGCTTTTTCCATCTTCAGCATAGGGGCCGAACAATAGATTTTTTTCAGCCTGAAAAGAACTGAAAATGTATTTTATTCTGCTATCTCCACTTCTGGCTCCAGTTTCATTCTTTCGTTTTTGTTACCAGATTTGAGTTCTTGGGTACAAAAGGACAGCGTTTCACCAAATTCCTTTGATATCAGCTCTCTGCTCCATTCACAAGAGAGCTGCAAGGCTTCAGCAGCATTCCAGGGAGCCGTTTCCCTGTTGTTGATAGAGAAGGCAGGTTGAAATCCTGATCTCATGAGTTCACATCAGCGCTGCATGGCTGGGGAGCTGGTCTAGCTGGGCCATGAACCCACTGCACTCAATGCAGAAACCTTTCTACCCAGATGAAGCTTCTTCCAACCACACTTCCTCCTACAGATGCCACAGAAGAGAGTTTAAAAAAGTTTTAGTGAGTAAACACAGCTCATCATCCCAGGAACCAAGTCAGAGTGTCTGAAAGTAGGGAAAGTCCCGGAGATTTTGTGTTCTTTATAAAATATTAATTCTTATTCTCTCTAATCACTGTGGATATTCTTTCCTTTGTAAAAGTTTAACTGTGGTAAATTCTTGCTCTTAAAGAACTCCAATGTTGATGAGCTCCAGAATAGTTGGAAATGAGAATTTCCATTTTGAGAAAAATGAAATGCAAAAATGAGAAGAAAAAATTCTCAAGAATTCCCAGTTCCCACTTTTGGTGCAAATATTAATTGATGATCACAGAAATATTTTACTTCAATAGCATTTGACTGTGTCTTTTTATCTAATATATGATGTAATGAAAGAAGCTTAATCAACGAATTAAAGTTTAAACTCAGTATTTCACTTTCTCTGAAAAATATTTTTTAGATTTATAACATTTGTAGATATTGTTGTAGATACTTTATTTATAATGTTTCAATTTTTACTACATTGCACTATGCAACAGAAAACTGAAAAATATTTTATTTAGCTCTCTACCATAGCTCAATTATGAAACAAAAATAATAAGTTTCTTGTTATCATAGTTGCATTTGCCATCTTTTCACTTCAGTAAATCCTTTGTTCTTAGGTGAAGTTTTTAACCTTTCCCAACCATTCAGTGTTCATACTTGGATAATGTCCTTCTTATGTGTCTCCTTTCCAATATAAATAACCCTGCGCTTTTAACTTCTCTTCAGGTGAGGTTTTTGGTTTATTTTTTTAGTTTCTTGGCTATTCTTAATTATCTTTCTATTTTATCAGCTTCCCATTTATCTCTGCATTATCCCTTTTGCTCAAAAATGAGTAGAAATAATGATGTATTTTCGAAAGCTCTGTATCATTGATAAAGTCATTTAATAATGTTTTTATTTTTGCTATCATATTCTTGCACCATATTTGCCTTTTTTCACTGCAGTTCAATACTACTATTTGTGTTGTCTGTTTTTCTGAATTGATGCTAAATGAAAACATTTTAAGAATCACTAGAAGAAAAAAAAAGTAACTGAAAAAACCCCATATATTTGCACATTAAAATATATTTATTATAATGACACCTCTTCACCCATCTAACTTACATCTCTCTGAGGGTGAATCATAGTCATCTTTGGCTGCTCATGGTTTATATAACAAAACCAGGTGCATTCTGCATTGCTTTTGATTCTGCAGCAAGAGCACATAGCTGTAATTTTACACAAATCCCCAGCAAGATTTTGCTTAAATTGCTCTGCATTTGTGTACTAGCTTTTTGCATTTCAGCTATCTGCATTTTCTTCAAGGTATAGTGAATATTGCCAAGCTACTAAGATGCTTAATGGATTCTTACTGAAATGTGACTGTCTTTTCCACAGTCTCAAAGGAAATTGCAGAAGGACTGAAGGCACCTGTATGTGAGACTTTAGAATAGTTTTCCTTAGCTTTAGGCATCCAGCTCTACTAGGAGGTTGATCTCTCTAAGTTTCCTGTCCTCCCTGAAGGGGGCTGTGCTCAAGCCAACAGATTGCATCTGGTGGTGGTGGTTTGCAGAGACAATAGTACAAGCTCCTGTGAGTAAATCTCAGTGTTACGGGTATGGCCAGTTGTATATTCTCAGCCTTGGTTTGTTTCATTAAGTTCAGTGGACTTTATCACATATGTACTACTAATATTCTGTGATGTTTTGGCTTCTTTGTCTGTATTGAGTTGCAAGATCAAGACACATATTCACCTCAAGGCAGAGCTGTTATTTCCAAGTATCAAGCATGAGGAGCTTTTCCTGTGGATACTTTGATTATTTTGGTTCTTGGAGCCCTTGCCTACTTTATATTTTTTATCCAAGTTACTCAACGTGGCAATTTTTTACTTCTCATCTTCCAACTGCTAGCTTAGTCGCCCTGATTTTTTCCTAAACATTCCATGGCTTTTTGTGTGTGATCCCTTTTCTCTAAATAATGAGCCCAAAGGGTCTGATCCTAGACTTCCCCTCTCAAGTGGCACCTCAGGAACTTGCTTGAGATTAAACATAATGTCAGTCCAGTGTCTTAGATGTCTACTGTTTGCTACTGAGTCCTCAGACCTGTCCAAAGAATTACATGGCAGTACATACCCTCAACTACTAAATAGCAACAAATGTTGAGCAAGAAAGATTTGAGAGAGCTGAATTATCTCGTTAAATTAACTGGAACATTTTAATTTTTACCAGAGTTGAGTGAGCTTGAGTAAATATGACGAATTGGACGCTCACTTCATTTAGCAGACATCAAACACACACAGAACGTTGCCCAATTTAATTTAGCCCTACCAAGCTGGGAAAATGCTTGTACAACATCAGTGAACAAGAAAAGGGCTAAAATTTACTCTCGGTTGAGAGTGCATGCATAAATTCCCTTTACTTAAACTGGTGTTGTGTATGTACATATAAAACCTTCCCTCAGGGAAAATCCTCCAAACACCTGCAACCAGAATTTATGCTACTATGAGTTATTCCCAGTAAAGTAAATAATAGCTTTCCCTATTGTTCTAAATAGACTATATGTAACTCCTGTCTTACAGTCCAAGGTTTATCTCCTTTTCCTTTCCTGTCTCTTATCAAGCACATGCCAGCACAGTCACTTGTTCAGTCATGCTCAGTAGAGTGGTTGGTTTTTTTTTTTTTTTGGCTTTATCCCCTGAGCTTAATGGGCACATTTTGTGAAGAGTGAGCCAACCAGGTAAATAGCTGCTACTATGGAGCTTAAGAGCTACAGCTCTCAAATTAGGAGGTGCTTTTTGTCAAATAGGCCTCTGTAGCTCTAATATTAGTAACAAAACAAGGGCTTTTCAGACAAGAAAAAAATCTTTAGTCTGACTCTGTATCACACTTAACTCTGTTGCCTTGTCAAATATGTCAATGTTCATATTATACAGCAGCATTCATCTGTGGATGCAAAAGTGCTTTACAAATATTACCTCTTGAATAGTTTTAATTTATACTTAACAACCAGGTTTGTGAGATGGTACTCGAAAAGAATCAGAGTGAACTATTTAAAAAGTTAGTATAAATAAATTATAGTGATTTCCTTGCTTTCCTGTTGCTCTATAGAAGGTTGTTGGCTTGAGATCCAGAACAAAGCTACCAAAGGATTTTTCGAAGGGATTTTTTTCTCCTTTTGTTTTAACACCATGTCCACACACATCTACATGCCTGTTTAATTCTAGTTTTAGCTTCTCTTTTGCTGTAATTTGTAAGTATCTTTTGGTAGAGCACCAGGAACGAGGTACACAGAAAGCAGAATACAGAATACAGCCCTGTGCAGAGGCATTATGGTCTCAGATACATACATCAGGCAAAAATAGTCATCCTTTTTCCTCAACTTGTTTATGGAATTTTATTACTTTTTTGCATGCTTCAGAAACATTAGCTAGAAACATTACCGAAGGAGTTCCTTGCCTTCAGGCTATGCAACTTCTCACAGTGTTTTAAGGCATTTTTATTGATTTTTTAAGCAAATTTGCTTTGAGCACAGTCTTTCATTTTCTGTTTTCTGAGGACAAGGCTGCAAGCCTGTTTGCAGAAGGCAGATGTCACAGACACATGCTGTGAGTTTTAAACTGGTCCATGAAATGCTGCAGTAGGATGGCTTTTACTATTACCTGTCTGCAACCAAAATAATAGTGAGTTACTTTCCTTCTTACTAATAAAAAACTTATGTTAGTCATTCTTTATCTCAATTTATAAGCTCATTTGTTAGTTTAAAATTATTAGGCTTTTTGAATATTCCATTCCCTCAGTATTTCTGTAAGAAATACTAGTTTTGTGTTAAAACAATGCACTGAGGCAAAGAAAAAGCTGCAGGCAAACTGTCTTTGGTGCTCTGGTTCTTGGTTTCCTGATTACTCTGTTTTAGGTCTTGAGTATCAGAGCTGGTACGTGCTCACAACACTGACAACTGTAGGGTATTTCTCCTTTTGAAAACTAGAATTTTGGTGCCCAAAGCTGGGTTCCCAAACTGAAACATTGAAAGTCAGAGGTCTTTGTTTCGACTGGGGATGTGCACAGACAGTGAGTGAGTGAGCGAAACGGCATTTAAACTGTGTATTGAGGAATGGCTGAGCAACGTGAAGTTGTTGCTGTGGAGCACATTTATTCTTGATGCTAATTTGGTGAGGGTGCTCTCTTACCTGCTGAGGAATGCATAGGGGCTGCTCATCCTTGGACCACAAGGTTGCTTTGAGCTGTTTCGTTTTCAGGTCTGTTTAGGATAACAATTCTGCCGACAGCTGGGTTCTGTAAGAAAGCTCCCATTCAGGTACATAAGGTTAAAATAATTAGATGTGTTCCTCGGGCAGAGATAAACATTGCCCTTCTATTTTTTGAAAGCAGATGAACTTACTAGGCCCACTCTAATACTCTGGGGTTGTCTCCTGCCTGATGTGCTGCCACCGAAGCTCTAAAACCGTCACACACAAAGGCACCACGGGACTCCCACCATCAACACGAGCTCTCTGCCTGCCTCTGGCGCTGGCTGTCAGAACTGCTTCATCTGAAATCAAGGTAAAGAATCAGCAGCACTAAATACTGCAGGACAAAGGCATAAACTAGCTTTGTAACCCTGGGCAACCTGGATGTTTGCTGACTGACAGTGTGAATGACAGCCCAGTTGTCAGTCTAAGATATCGTCCTCTAATCATTCCAGATGTCACCCGACAAGATGATGGCTACTAAAAAGGGAATAATTTGGGAAAAGTCATAAAGCCCATTATCTCCTGCTGAAACCATTTCTCTTTGCCATTTCTGAAGTCTCTGCAAAATAGATCCAGAATCCCTTATGTAACGCAACTGGTTTATTGAGAGTGTCCACTCAGAACTGCACTGGGTATCCCATTACATTCCTAGAGAAACCTACCCCTGAGCTATACCACTCCTTCATGTCTTGGCAGGAGACTCCAATCTGGCCACACAGTGTAGCTGAAATATTTTCACTTGTTCCAAAATACAACAGGGAGCAAAAGGCTGCCGTAGTAGCTGCTCGCAGACACAGCCTAGCAAATCAGAGAAAGAATGGAGTTAATCACAACAGAAACATAGTGCAGCTTCTGGCTAGAATTCTTATTAATATTTTTCTCCTTAACAAAGAACGAAATGTCTGAAAACATTGTTAAGGCCTTTCCATTCTTGCTTAATTTATTCAATTGCATTTTAATTTCAATATGAAGAGAGGACTTTATTCTGAACTTGAGGCTGAATGAAGGGCTGCATATAAAAGAAAAATAACGAATAAAAAGAAAAAATCTCTTTTGAGAAGGACAACAAATTATAGCAGAGGAGGTGGAGGAGAAGGAGAACATAGGAAAGGCAGAACATTATGGTGTCTGAATCTTGAGCTTTAAATTTTGAAAACATAGTCTGAACCACGGAAGTTAGAATACAGTTTGTCATCCAGATAAAACTAGAAATGAACCCCTAGATTGTTATAGCAGGCTGTTTTAAGGGCATAAACTGAAACTGGAAAACATTCATTAATTACTGTGTCAATTCCTTCCAAGATCTATCGGAGGAGATTCCAGACTGTGAGCCAGAAAATTCTATATCTCATTCATATAAAATATCTCAATGAAATACACTGAAAGATTGCTGCCAAACTTTGGTAGAGAGGACAGAAATGTCTTTAGGGCAACTGTTAAAAAATCTGTCTCCTGTAGGCTGCACTGGACCTGATTCTGCCATTTTCACTCATACTGGCTGATAACTGACCAATCGATTGCAATGAAGGTAGTGGAATAATTTATGTTGTAAGGAGTTAAATTTGCATGAATTTAGGCAAAAGGTTGTAGTCATTTGTCTTAATGAATAATTTCATGTTGCTTGCTATCTACCTGAGCAATTCTAAAATGGTCGGTAGGGTAATGTGGAGAACGGAAGAATCCCATCTAAGAAAAGGTAAGTTTTCTGACTGGCAGTTACATTTCTACATCATGAAAATAGATTCTCTTCCTAACTAATCAGTTCCCCTTCCCAAAAGGTGTGGTAGTTTTGAAGTTTTAGCTTGTCCAAAGAGCAGCTTGAATCTAGCACCAAAGAATTTCCCAACAGTGACTTGAACAGTTTTACATAACAAGTTATGGTAAAAGATCCTAATGAAGCCCTTTCCCATGCCACTTAGACAGTATTGATATCTTGTTGTAATAATATTTTGGCTGTTGAATTGCATCCATGCCTTGCTTCAGCTATGGAAAGTTTGGAAACACAAAGACTTTGTGGGAGCCTGTGAAACGCTGGAAGGTTGATACACCTCCCATGGAGTATGAAATGAAGGTTATGATTTCTCTTTGTCATGGAGCAGCCCAGAACAACATCACAAAAAGTATTTATTTCAGATTTTGTATAAACTATTCTTAACTCTCTCTTCAAACTTTAAAAAATTTGGTATTGATTCTCAGTAGCTGCAAATCTTAATTGTAGCATGTTTCACTCATATGCATGTATACATAGGTGGGGGGTGTTGTGCTTACATAGTCTTGATTCCTTTTAAATCTTGAGTAGATATATTTTTATACAAATCTACATGTTGTTCATTATTATGATCCCCTTTCTAACTGAAATACAATTTTTTTCTAATATACCTTCTCCCCTGTGTCTCGCTAAGTTTAGCTAACAGACACAACAATGCGCTAGTAACCAGTAACTTTTTTTTTAAGTTGACATATGTGCTCAGATGGTAGGAATTTAAAATTAGGAGGCTATAAATTCTGCCCTTGCTTGGTAATCAAGTCCTGTCTAATAGCAAAATTGTTGCAGTAATTCCACTGTGACATGCTAAAATTAGGAGCCAGTAGAAATAGAATTGTATGTGTGTGTATATACATGTATGCATATGTGTGCCCGTAAGTACTTCATTTCTGTGGACTATTCTAGTCCACTAGGTAGTGAATCTACCTAGTTCTGTATATTATAGTAAGGGATTTTGATTTTCTACAAAACTGTACATGGATTTCATGTTTATAAACAGGTTTGTCATGTCAACAATAAAAATCCACAAAAAAGGTGAAAAATTGAATTGCTTCCAATTCATTCTTTAAATATAGCAGACATAACCTCTTGTTTCACAATATTGGAGGGGCACTTTGTTTTGTTTCAGAAACTTCAATAATTTTATGTGTTATGATGAAGTTTTGCTTGAAGTTTTGCTGTTGGTTAAAAACCTGAAATGCACAGTGAAATCTCAATTTGTAAAATCATTTAACTGGAACTTAGATCAGTGTTTACTGTTGGTTATCTTTCATCTAGTCATGTAATGCCCTTAACTCTGATTTAATTTCTCATTACTATGTTTTAGTGATATGTTTTGAACTGCACATTGTACATACCACTCGGTTTTCTATGGAAATTTTGTCTGCCTATGCTCAAAACTAACAACTCACTATGTGTCTGGATTCAAAGAAGTGATACTAAAAATTATTTTTTTTTTTAAATCACAACTAACATTTTTACAATTAGAAATGCATTGCAGTGCTTTGGCATTACACTAAACCTATATGACCTTTGAATCAGCCTTCAGTGACTGAACAAATGCAATTTGCAATTCCTTATGTGGAGTTAAGAACCTCTTCTCTGGTTTGGTCCTTGAGCCACCACACTGCAATGACTGCTCTTCTAGTGGATATCCTTTTACTCTGATACCTTAAGGTCCATCTGGTTTTTTTGATTTTTCTAATTTTTACAAGCTTTATAAGTAGTTATATAGCAGAAGTAGATTTAGAAGCAGCATGACTTATTCCCTTACACTTAGCACAGAAACTACACACATTCCCCAACCCTACTACCCCATTCCATGCTCCCCATATCAATTCTACCCCCTAAATTCCAGTAGAAATGTCTCTCTTTAAGATAGGCATCTTCTGTTAAAGGATATCTAATCCTGGCCTGAACTGCAAAAGTACAGTCAAGAACTGGGTGAATATATGCCCCCTGTACCCCGAAGAAGATGAAGATTGATGAAGAGGTGGTCTTAGAGACCCTATCCCCAGTTCCCAAGGGGTGTGATTGAGGGTGGTCCAGGGCAAAAGCCAGTGGGTGGACAAAACCTGGGATTGGACAGACAATATTATAAATTGTAACATCTGTACAGAGGGGCACGTGCGTGTCTTGTATTCTTATGCCTAGGCACAAAATTAAAACCCCTTTCCTTATCTCACCTTCAAAACTAAATTGCCTCAGAGTTTTTTTCTCCCTGAATTTTCTTTCAGGCATCACTCTTTACTCTCATTGATAGTCATCTCTGTTTTGTCTCATACTATCCTTTGAGAGGGCCATGAGGGAACTGTGAAACATCCTGGCTTAGAGCAGTCTCCCCTGAAGGAAGTCCAAGCATACTGGCAGCCAGTGATTGGAGAAGTACAGCCAAGCACAGGAATCTTTATGTACAAGCCTGGTTCCTCTCCTCTTCCTCCCGCCTCTGCCACTGGCTGCTGCTGGAAGTAGGACTCTGCCTGAGAGACCTTTGCTCTTATCCAGTTGTTCTTATGCTAAAACTTTTATGTTGTGCTTTGATTTTTCTTCTGTTTTTGCAGATAGTCAGATTTCTGAAGGATAAAAGGGCGAGAAGAAAGTTCCCATTTTTTTTCACACTTCTGTACTTCTCAGTTTAGTCTGTTCACTGCCTAGAAGGAGGAAAGAAAATGAAAAGGAGAACAAATGTCATGGCATTCCTGCCTTCCTGAGGCTGGTAATTCAGCCAGTTGCAGTCTCAGCCTCTTATAGCTTAGTTTTCCCAATAGTTTTAGGAACATTCCCTGCAACCTTGGTTCTCAGATGTCAGAACTGACAGAGAACTATGGGAAATAAGTTGGTACCTAGCAATCTTTCGTAATTTTTCCCAAAATCTTTGAAATTTTTTGTGAATTACCCATAAAAGACAGCTTTTCTAGAGCAAGTTTATTTATTATCTATCAAAATACTTCTGTTTATCCTTCATTTTCTTAATTTTTGCTTACTTGCTTAAGCACCGTGCTTTCCTGTGAAGTTTGGATAGGAATATTCTTGAATGTTTTGCTAGTGTAAGTTCCAAGATTGGACCCATTGCTACAACATATGGGTTCTTTTGAAAAATGTTAGATTTTAACTGGTTTTTACTTTTCAGCAGAGGAGTCCAACACAGTAATCCACAAATTAAGAATGATCGAATGCTTTATTTGGTAGTTCCCCTTGGACATGTATTGTATTTAAAGGTTTAAGTATGTCTTGATGAAAGTCTTTGCCTTTAGCTGTTCATTGCTATTTTATCTATTTCTTCAGCTGTGAAAAGCTTTTTTATTTGGTTGAGGTTTGTTTATTTCTCACTGGTAAACTTTTCTAGTATTTTAAAATTCTGCATTACAAACAGGTTTGAATTTTGGCTTCTCTTTGGAGTATTTTACAAGGACAGGGATTTTACACACTAAATTGCTTTCCATAAAACACAGCTGTAAAAAAAAAGTGAAGTCACTCTGTCTATACTTTGTCCTCTTGAAACTTATTCTCTTTAAAAAGGGTCTGTGTAATTTTACATAATTATTTTGGCAAGAATGTTTATTGCCCAGCTGGGTGAAATTATTAGTGTACCTCTCAAGCTGCATTTTCAAAGATCAGTAATACGTATATAAACCTCTTTGAGGGTCCTTGATATGTAGGATTTTTATTGGAGACCCTTGTTTCACTTCAGTAAAAGGATGACACAAGATGTTTACTTTAAAAAGTCTTTGACATCCTCCTGAGAATGTTTTGATAGAATGGCATACATTTGGTTACAATTAGTAAGCCAAACAATTTTCCATTGTTATCTCACTGTGTTTGTCTAGAGCCTGTAAGGAGCTTTCAGAAAATATCCATCTCCATGTTTTAGTTAATTGATTGCATGTTTAGTAGGATTATTCATTTTTATAAAGCTCCTTGTCCTTTTAATTTTATCACAGGGATTTTACACAAAGGCATGTGGTAGAAAGCAAAAGGGAAATACTGGCACGGTTAAGCATAAAGAGATATTGTAGTTGTATCAAGGCTTATATTCCTGCGTGTGGGAAAAAATACCAATGTGTTCCTGCTGCTTCTGGGTGCAAGATGTTATACCTGAGGGCTGAAAGTAATAGTTGCTGGTGTGAAAGTATTCACCAATATCAAGTGCAGATGAATGCTTTTGGACCCAACTGAAAGCTGAGTTAGTAATTCTTTAGCTTAATATTTGAACTTGTACTTTTAGTATAATAAATGATGGGTGACTTAATTTTATTTAAACTTTATTAGCAGTGTGATTAAAGGACTAAAATCCTTGTCTGACACCTTTGCTATGTTGTGATTTCTTTGGTTATTTACCATTTTATTTATAAACTAGAATCTCATCTTTTCTTTTGTATGTTAGCTGAAATACATCTTTCTGTTGAACGTCTTACTTTCTAAATAGAGATTGGCAAGTCTCAGCTGAGATCATTGTCTGTCTTTTTTAGGTAGTAAACTTATCTTGGTACGTACATCCCGTCTTGCTTATAGCTGTTTGGTGGTTACATGGTTAAGCTGAATATAATGTGAATTAGTGTCTATGTCACAGAAATTCCCCATGCAATTATCACCCCTTGAAACTGCTGCAGTGCCAGGTTTAGGCCTGATAGCAGAAACTGGTGCTTCTCTACATCCTTTTATCATCCTCTTTTGTTTACACTCTTTTTGGAGAAATCACTGATCACAACTCCTGTAATGGTAGGTACACGCTGGCAGCTGAGAAATGCAGAGCTTATAGTGCTATTCTGCTTGATAAACCTGTATCCTTGAAGTCTCCTGCATCTCTACCCTGTCAGACTGGTAAAGCCATGCTGCTTTTATGAATTCCTGGTGGGAGTGGTCAATACTGAATTGAATAACTCCCTGTTGAATTATATCTTTAACAAAACAATTCTTGAAAAGCCTGCTCGATTTTGGATGGGTGCACAGGAAGAAAAGGGATGGTACTTGAAGTGCTTTCTGCAGTTGCTGCCTCTGCTCCCTCACCAGGGTGGGAATTGACAGAGTTGCACAGGGCTGTCCTCTGATGCTGTCCTGTCCTACATTGCCTCCAGTCAGCACTGCAAGAGGAAGTTACTGTTGTGGGTCTCTGCACGACTGGCACACAAATTGCACCTTGGCCAACTGTGCACCAACACTTCTGTGCAATGAAATCACACTACCTGGTGTCTCCAAAGTTGAAATCAGGAGTTTTGGCCCCTCAGTGCATGCCAACATCAAATTCAGGCCTTTTAATCTCCTTTTCATCAGAGCTAAGTTATGTCAGTTCATGTTCTCTAGAGCAGTTTGAATTCAAGTTAGCTGGTGATTAAGGTACTTTGAGTGAATTGGATGCTGGTAGGAGTGTTTGTTCAAAGGGTTAACTTAACCTTCCCCAAGGTTGTAACGGACACTGGAAGATCAAAAGCTCCTCCAGACTGTCAAAGAGAGAGGAAAAAAAGAATTGCCTGCTTTTACAGTTTTCAGTCAATGTCTTCCTTCTGGAAAGAAAGTCTGTGTTTAACATACTTAAACTTATGGTACGAACTACTCATTTTGTTTCTAATTGTAAACATAATTTGTTTGGTCTTTCAGTTCTTTAGATTTATGCAGTAGCCATGTTTGTGAAAGTATTTGGCACCAGTGACATCATTTCTGTTGAAATGCCGGACAGCGTGATGAGTCTCAGATGTTAACGCACACCAAAAGTGGAGAATGAATAAAATATAAAGATCAACTGTAACAGCTATGGAGGTAATAAAAAGTAATTCTGTTTTCTTCTAATATTCAAAGATAATTATTTATATTTGTTTGAGGTTTGTTTTGCATAAATGATCAATTAGGGACTGTGCTCAATACTCTGCATGTACAATATAAGGGCAGACTGAGATGTGAATTTGGATGAACACTGAATAAAGCATGATTTAACTTCATGATTGCACTATTTCCTTTGTGTTTTTTTCCAATCTTCTACACTTTGCATGTATAGATTATGATATATGCAAAATATGTGTACTGAGACCTAAATGTGCCTCTTTCTGAACTGCCAGAATGTAACGTGTCATTCGGATAATGGTCATGCATGGTTATGTCAGCACATCATGTTTTCTAATGTACTGTAACATGACATGCCAATGTAACCAAGAGTAGCACCATTTCCTAATGACATGTCATGTCTGTGAAATGTAAAAAGGATATGACTTACTGAGAATAGGGCTTGATTTTTTTTTTAATTTTAAAATAAAATATCTCTCTGTGCAGTTTATCCAGCTCCAAAAGTAGCTTTCGTAAAAGTATGGTTTAGGTGCGTAAGGGGAAAAATCATAAAGGTACCCAGGCATGGTTCCATATTAACCACATTTCTACCCAAGTGTTTCATGCTTCCCACGTTTGGTGTAGGAAACACTAACAAATAATACATCCAACCATCCAGAGCACTCTCAGATGGATAAGACTTACCTGACTGATATTGTCGTGGAAAATCAAGCAGAGGTGCTCCCTTAATTTTCTTCCTACAATGAACACTTTCTTTAGGTCATTCTGTTGTCTAAATAGTGTTCACTGTCATGAAAAATTTTCATATACACAGTTAAAAATTGACTTGGAAAATGTCTACTTATTTGTCAAATATGTTTCCTTAATTTATTGCACCAGTTCTCCAGGCTCTATAGGCATAAGACAAATTGTATTAAAGCCACAGAGAGAAAAAAGAAATTTAGACTTTTCATATTGGAGTATTGAGTCCTATAAAAATGAATAATCAGTTTGATGTATAACTCATATGTTGCTGTCTTCTCTTATAAGACTTCACATCAGAAAAGAAATATAGAAATATATCAAAACATAAGCTTGTTTCAGTTCTCAGTAGATTATTCTTAATATCTTTATTTGGACTGAAAGTTTTCTCTTTAGTCTTAATACAAGTTTTCTGAAACCTGAAAGCAGAGGCAGTAGTGATGGCATTGTTGTGGTGAAATTTTCACTGTGCTGCTTGGTTTTGAGCCATATGACATTGATATTGCTGAGTATGAGGGAATTATTCTGAAATTATTTGGATTTTTCTTAACTTTTCTTTCAGGCTGCGTGGTATTTTGGGAATAAACATTGAAAAACAGATCAACTTATATTATTCTTTCTGTTTACAGGACTGTACTCAATTTACATTCTGATGTTGATACACAAAGGCTATAGGATTTTGTCAAGGGCTTCTAAAGCTGTTAAGACTTCCAGGTGAGTCTTTCAGGTACCCTTACTAAACCCAGCATATCTACAGGATTTTGTTAGATCTCATTTTCAAAATCACTTATGTTATTTAGGGGTCTAATTCACTGTTCTGAAAGCAACTTGGATGCTTAATACATTAGACCTCCCTGACCTTCAAAGGGACATCTAAGCATTTATGGTCAGATACTGAACATAAGAGAAGCTTGGTAGGACTCTTTTTATAGTGTTTCATCACCTCAATCCCTTTGAAATCACTTTAAACACTTTCCTTCAATTTAAAAAATGGGGCATGAATTTCTATATCATATGTGTACTTATGAAAATATTACCTGTAATTTATTTAAACCTTGTGAATACCCCAGGAAAAAGATATGTTGTGGATGCAGTGCGTTAGTATAAAATGTGTTCTATGAATTTTGGGACAAATCCTGGTTTTTGTCACTAATGTGTCATTTTAGTCATTACTTGCTGAGATGTATCATTAGAAATCTCAGTCACATAGGCCATGCTTAAATTACATATCAGATGACCCAAATGTTTAAGACAAGATGGTGTAATTCAGCATCACTTTAAGCAATTTATGCCACTGAAGATCAACACCCTCAAAATCCTGCATCTTCCTGAGTGGAATTATTTCACCTTCTCAAGTCTTTTCTTACATCTTCTCATTTTAGTCAGGACCCCCTACCTTCCCATCCCCATCTTATCTGACTGGCTTGGGGTACTGATGCAATTACTGTCTCCATATACTCTCTACAATTAGTCTTAAAAAACATAAAAATTTCCCTGAAACACAAACGTACCTGTTTTAGATAGTTTGTGAAAATAGTGAAGGAGAAAATCTCAAGGGGGTAAAGAAACAGAGAGAGCTTTGCTGAAGGGTGAGCAAAATGTACCTGTTAGTTACATAAAGTTATGATAATACAATATCCTATTGTGTAATAAGATATGACACAATGTAATATTTTTTGTATGCTTTAGTGTCAGTTTTAATTGCTGAACATTTAATAGGTTTGCAAACAGAATAGTTAGATTTGCCATTTGCAGTTTTGCTTTTCTTATTTTTTTTTTTTAATACTTCCATCTATTTTCCAGCAGTCATTCCCTTTCTTTTCCATTATGGTCAGAAAACTGTGCTATGACATGCTGAAAAATGTTTACTAACATTATTAAAGGTCACGTTCAGAGCTATTGATTACAGACGCAGTGACTTCTTGCCAGGCCACTGTGTTTATGCCAAACTGTGTCATCAGGCTCTCTGCTAACATAGCTTTAGTGCAGTGGCTTTTCATTGTTTCTGTTTAAAATCCATGGCACTACATTTTCCAGAAACCCTGTATGTGATGTTGGGCTCACACTTTGCAGCTGTCTCTGTAGTTCTTAGAAAGGTGAAAAAACAATGACTTAACACTCTGTACCACCCAAGTCTGATTTTTTTTTTTTTTTTTTGTCTAAGGTCACCTTATATTTGTAGATCTTGGAAAAAGATCATGAATATTTATGATGGCATCAAAAAATCAAGCAGCTGCAAATTGTTTACAACATTTTTAAGAATATGAAACCAGCTTCTACTATAAATCAAATACATCTGTTAGAACTGGATGAAAATTGAAAGCTCTTCGGTTCCATCCTATCCTCTGAGCGTTGAAAAATCATTGGTAGCATGATTCCAAAACACTAATGTGGGCTGTATAGACAAAAGGTAGAACCCAAAGTAACGTATCAAATTAATCATTCTGAAGATAGCACGTGAAATTAGTTTAATGAAATATTAATTTGAAATAGATGCCATAAAACTTTGTGGAAACTTCCAAAATGTAGAATCATAGTCTGCCTAAAATTTTGTCTCATTATGCTTTTTTCCTGCTTTAAGAAAAATTCTTCCGTAACACAGCATCTCAGATCTGCATATTTGAAGTGCACATTAAAAATGTGCACAACATTTTCTTCAAATATTTGTTGAATCTTTCCTCTACAGAACCATGATTTACAATCTGCTGCAAATTTAAAAGCTAGCTGGAGAAATAGGCAGAAGTAATCAATTTTAAATCTTGGCACTGCTGGTAAATTGGTATTTAGATGGCATTTATTGTATGAAAGCATCAAAACATTTGGTTTTGTTCAAACCAGAGGAATAATGTGTGTGCTTTAGATGAGCTGCACTACTTGCCTAAAAATTATCTTGAATGAGAGGGAAAACTGTTCATCCCTTAGGACTATGATTTTCAAACTTTTTCTTGCCAAGTACTGCCATCAGCAGCAGTGGTGACAGCAGCCTCAGCCTGCAGCTCCACAAGGGCTCACATCAGGGTGCAGACTCTTGTGTGTCTCTTGTGATATGTGGGTTGCAACTTGGGAGTGTCTGTATTAGAGCTCTTAATTCATTAAAATACAACTGTGCTAATAAATAAACTCTCTGATTTAGAGAGACTACAATTGCATTTTACCTCTCCTTGAGAGGTTTCATATTTTCCGTATTTGGGGTCTCCATTTCTTCCTACCACTTAAATGGTATTGGTACTGTCCCTCAGTTTTTCACTGAAGTACTTTTGACTCGGAAAGTGTGTGGGATTTTAGGTTCTTCCCATTTCATGTTTAAAGGATAATTCAAAGACCTGTATGGTCAGAGGTACCCCTACACTTTGCAAGAAGATCTTTTTCAACTGCCATATGGTTCCCTCCATTCGACACTGAAGAATAAACTCCCTTTCTTTTCCTGCTGCCCAGTGTTACAGATTGTCACAGACTATCCATCCCCGAGCAGCATTGCATTACAATTCAAGTAAACCTCCTTCAACCAGCATGCAAGACTTCATCAGAAGGCAAAACGCTAGTCTGAGAGGATAATAACTGAGACATTCTTTTAATAAGGACCATTTTTAAATGTTAAGAATGACTTGTTTTAATTGCAGGAGAGGAAAGGAACTCCTACCAAGAGTCAAAGAGATCCCCCAGCGCTCTCTGAAGTCTTCAAATTGTCTTGTATAGAAATGCCTGAGAATCAGAAATTAAAAAAAGTTATAAAAAATTTCCAGCCATTTTACTGTAAAGTTCATCTGAGGAGTTTATTCTCTTCTGAAGTTAAAAATTTGGCTTTAGTTTAAAATAGGATACTTGACTACCCTATTTACTGAAGGCAAATCACAAAACTCATTTTATAGACCCAACTTTTGCTGAGTTTGTGTAAGCAGGGATGCAGAACAATTATGATTAAAACCATTCCTTTCAATCTACTATACAATATCCACCTGTTCTGTCAGACAGCAGGAATGTATGCCACAAATACAGACTACTGTGGTGACAGCAGCAGGTGTATGGCAGCAACAACTAATCAAATCAGCTGAATCGGAGGTGTGAGTCACATTGCACTTCTGTGCAATGAAAATGACCAGAAAGGAGAGAGCTAAATGATGGTGAATTTTTGTTTTGTTTCATTTTTAAGAACTGTCTTTAAATTATAGGCGGTGCAACTGCAACAGTACAAGAAAAAAATAATGAAGAATTGAAAGGAAAATGACACTTCATTGCTGCAAAGGACAGGCAGAGTGAGATAGGTATAAGACAACCATTGTAATCACTCTGAAAAAGCAAGGCATGGGTTTCGATTTTCCTAAAGAAGCAAATGCAAAAGAACTCTTGTCTGTACCATATGACTCATGATGCTTCTTTACTAGGCTTAAAGAGAATTGAACTTGAGTAATAGCACCATTAGAGCTCTTTACCAGGAGCTAGTTCCTGTGGTTTCACTGGGTCCAGCTGCTGATGACTCACAGAGGAAGTGGCAGAGATTAGGTGCACAGGGAAAAAATCAGAACAGCTCAGAAATAAAGCAAATCAACCAAGCATTACCTTTTGTGCACAACAGAACAATGGCTTAACAACTAAGGTTCAAAATGATCCGTCTTATTCCCCTCATTTATGCTATTCCTGTTGGAAAGACCACCAGGAAACATGTGAACCACTGTGGAATACACACTGTAATCCATGGAACATCTCAATTAATATTCCCTCTTGACTACAGCTAGAACAATACATAGCATCAAGCAGTTTAATCTCCGGCAATAATGCCTTTTGTAAGATCAAGAGGTCTTTCCCTTGAATTAAGGTTTAAGTGAGGATTTTGAAAATTAGTTAGGTATTCTGCATAATGTCTAGTTGTGGCTACAGGTTCCATAAGTAATAGCTAGGTAAAATAGCTAGACACAGACTGGTTTTCATTAGAAATGTTGTTATTAGTAATTTCTCCTTTGTAAATTCACATTGGGTTCCCTGTAGAAGAGAGTTAATTCCTCCAGCAGGCTTTGTTATGAACAGATATATCCAAGCTCGTATAAAATTTAAATGTTGCCTCTAGTATTCAGTTTTGTGCTACAAAACTATGTCCCCAGCAGCAAAAAGTTAAAATACGTAACTTAGAAGGGAGGATACGGGAGGAAAAATTCTGGATCTTGTTTAAATTACTAATGTACAGTAGTAGTCCTGCTGTTGGATCACATCACTACAGTCTTGGACACATAGCTCAGGGGATGTTTTCTTCTTGAAAACTACAAACAGTTTAGGCTCTAAATTCCTTGGGGAGGAGTTCCGTCTGAGTTGATATAGATTGATAATGTATCTTATTACAGAAAGATAAGACTACTTTGACGAGATTGTACCACTTCTTTAAAAAAAAAAATTTGAAAAGTATGATTAAGTACTAAAAGCACCCTAGGAAAAAAATATTGCAGATTTTGCTAGGTCAGCAATTTATCCTTGTTTTTAAAAATAAATTGGAATAGGTAATTTCACTTACATTCCACTTTCTATTTTGATAAGAATTTCAGAGGTAAGATCAGTTAGTTATTATACAGAGATACATTTTATAAACATTTGCTTTAGTAATTAATGTAAAACAATTCACAGCCATCTCTTTAGAATATTAAGTAACGCACTGTACTTTATGTGTTTACCACGAGCTGGCGTTTCAAACCCCACAAGGTGACTGTGCGACACTGGTACATGGCCTCTGCCACACAGTTTTGAAGAGGCCCATACTACCCTCAGCTTCAGTTGCGCTCCAGCTTACGCAATAAGCACTTGAAAAAATATTGCCTGTAAGAAAGATGCTTCTGCTGGTGTTTTCCTGTATGGAAAACTAAGCACGAATTCACTTCTTGGCCTCAGTTCTCCCGATGCAGGGCTGCATTATCTGCAGTAAGCAATAAAGGCTGCATTTAAGATATTGAAGACTGTGCTGTGCATTTGTGATGGCTGGCGAGGTGCCGCTGTCTGCAGCGCTGTGGGTGGCCGGGAGTGTGTAGGGTGCTGCCACGGCTGTCCTGGGCACTGACCTGGGACACCGTGGGATTTGGGGAGAGCTGCACCAGCTGTCCTGAAAGGCATGAAATTCCTCTTCCCTGCATGCAGCCACATGGCCTTCACGCACTCAGAAGTACATGGATGGATCAGGTCAGTTAATTTACTCTTCTCTTTTAAAAGTCAGTTATTTTATGTTTAAATATTTTCAGTCATCTCATTCACATTGACTCTTTGGCATGTATGTGAAGATGAAAGGGATGAAACCTTACTCCTATCAATGCCATAAATATAGATTATGGGAGGGGGGAAAAAAGTTAAATGGAGTTAATATGCATTAGAAATTGTTTATTTGATACTATTATACTATCCCTTTAAGATATGCTAATATGAACTGGCTGTCAATACAACATCACTTAGTTGGTTTTCATCTGGACCTTAGAGCACAACAAAATTATTAGTACATAAATCTCTACTAATTTACTCTAGATTATGATTCTTTCATCAACATGCACATATAAATTATATCATTAATCATAATGATTTCTTTCAGTACTCATACATAGTTTCTTGGGAATCCCACTGTAATTCAGCATGAATTAATGTCCACTTATTGGAAAACACTACCTACATTGATATTTCTAGGGAAAAAAAACCAACAACTGTGATGCATCTTAAACTACAGCCTAATTGACCGGGGTGCTGGTAAACAACCACCAAAGGAGCGTCACTGCAGGTAAAGGAAAGTTGTCTTAAAGGCAGTTTGTTCCAAAGCTCATTAGGCCAGATGGCAGCCTGTCTTCTAGGAGCACGTAAAGCACTTATGAGGGAACGGGGAACTTCTCTCTCCTTCACCCTGCCCTGGGGGAGAATGGTGTGAATACGCAGAGTGAGGGGAGAGCTGAAGCAGGAGGGCATCACTAGATGCTGGAGAAGGCAGTGCAAAACCATCTGCTGCACTTTTTTGACAGGGCTGCATCAGTCTTAAGGGGTAACACTTTCTAATTGGCCTCAACAATAAATTGCACTGAGAGAAGCAGCAGTATCCATCCACTTTTCTGCAGAGTGTTTTTTAGCCATGAATTATATGCTTGGAAGTGGCTGGCCCATAGATTGAGCAGGTTGAGGATCCATGGGTGGAGTGCCTTGGCCTCAGTTTCCCCCTCCTAAGAAATGCAGCTGCCTCCTTGAGAAGTGCTGTGCCCTTTCTGGAGGTGAAGTAGGGTATTACTTAATCTAGCTATCAAATATATAAATGGAACATACATATATACATATGCATGCTTCATAAGTGAGACAGTGAGGGGGAAAAAAAGGAACTTCTGACTACAACGAAAGATTCATTAGGAAAAATGAACTAATCAGTGCTCTCCAAGGAGAAATTCATTCTGTTTAGGAGGCCGTACCCTCTGCTGCTGCATGTACTTAATATAATTTATATTATTATTTAAATCACTGCGTAAATTTTAGATACTTTTAAAAATCAAGTTAATGGACCATAGTTTACTGCTTAGCATCATTTATATCAAGAATTAGTGGCTGTGGAGCTAATATACGTTAACACAGAGGAGAAAACACAAACAAGCAAATATCATAAAACTCATCTGTAGCATGAGCTTAAAATACAACTGCAGAAATGAGCCCTTGGAAGTTGTGTATTTTGTGGTACAGCCTTTCCTTTAAGTTGTGTGCACCCTTTCGTGTAAGTACAAGGTATTCTTGAAATTGCCTACCACCACACAGGGGGCCCAGCCTTGCACCAACCTGTTATGGCAGAATATTTATTGTTCTGGGAAATATCTCCCTCTCCTCACTTCGGATACAAAGAAAGACAAGAATACAGCATGGCTTTCCCATAGCCATAAGAGGAAGTGACAATTTAAGGAATTCTTGTGGAGAACACAGGGACCTATAAAAACTGCTTAGGAGCTGAAGAAAGAGTCTGAGACACTTTAAACGGACACAGCATAGAAACAAAGAAAGAAGGAAATAAAGATAATAGGAAACTGAAAGAGTAAGAGGATTCTGGCAGCTGAAACAAATCCAGGGCCTTCTGCCCCGGGCTCTTTAAAAGGCAGAATATATTCCCTGAAAATATCTTACCTGTACCAGGCAATAAAACAGCTGTGCATCATTGCTTGCTTCAGGATAGCTGTGCTTTATTTCATTCCTCTTTTTTTTTTTTTTTTTTTTAACAAGAAACCCAGTTGCTTAAGCTTTGACACAAAGCCTTTGAGAGCCCTGGATTCCTGTCAACGTCATGCTGAAGCTCATGTCACCGAAGTGATCGATCAAGCTGCCATGGGAGAGTGTTACAGAGATGGGATGGCCAAGGGGGTGCAGCAGGCACAGGGGAGGAGAGAGGCAGACCCTGGGAGGTTGGCAGCACCTGTGGCAGCAAGTCCAATGGTACACAGGTAGTGCAAAGGGATGGTGTTAGCACTTCTTGTTTCATATAATCATAAAATAGTCTGGGTTAGAAAATATCTTAGAGATCATCTAGTTCCAAACCCTCTGCCATGGACAGGGACACCGTCTACTTCTCCAACTTATTTTATGTTGTTCCTGAAAATCAGGAGTTTAGGTAAACAGTGAGTGATATACTTGGAGTAGAAAAAAAACCCAACCCACAGCTGTGTCCAGGAGGTGTGAGAGGGAATCTGGAAGGCAATGAGCTAATCAGGGACAGTACTTCTTAT